AGCCCAGAGGTTGTTTCAGGGTTTGACCTGTGAGTTAGCCGTACCCTGACTTCGATCAGCCCAGAGGTAAATTTAGTGCCCTGACTAAGACAAGATGAAAATCTGAAACTTTTTTTTTTTTGAACTAGGATTGTATCATGACCTCCGAAAGTGTCGCAGGCTGTCTGAACACCTTACGACGAAAAAGACAGCCCAAAAATCGATACAAAAGACTTGAAAATGAATATCAACATGATGAAACATGGTTATCAACAGCACATCAATGCAACGTACATAGCTAGCAGAACCTATTTAACAAGTACCTATAAGCTATTYCGAGGTTAGGGGGAAAACTAGGTCGAGTTGGCATCGTAGTGCATTTTGGGGCTACTTCTGAGCACGAGATAGACGCCATCTTGGAATAGCCCTAAAATGTACTGCCATGCCAACTTAACTCGGTTTTTGCCTCATGCATGGAATATCTATTGWCTCGCAATCCATGAGGATGAGAGGACTGATTGTTTTAGTCTAATTAAACCTACTTATTGGTCAAATAAATCAAAACAATTTGAAATGGGGTCGAAAACCCGGGTTATCCACCTTTGCTTTGGTTTTCAAAACCGGCATTTTTTAMTTCTTTTGGTCTATCACTAATAGACCACTAGTGGATCAGCCAATCAGAGAGCAGAATTCGCGTTAGACCATCAGTAGGTTTAGACCTTTGGTTCAGACTAAAGAAAGTTAGTCTATTAATTATTCTAACACTTATTTCAATAAAGTTAGTCACCTGAAAAGCTACAAAGCTTAGACCGGCAAGGATTATGGGTAGATACATTTTACATGTTTCAACCGCTTGATAACTGTTSATGAACTTGAGATCTTYTACCAGTTACAAGTTAACCTCCTCTGAGTATCCTCAACTGCTGCAGTTTGTGTCAAAAGCTTTACTTGTTGGATATTAAATATTTCCCATGATCCTCGGCGATCACRGCTTTTTAGGTTTTTGGTGACTAATTTTATTGAAATAGGTATATATGATACAGTATTGACAGAAACTTAGGCTTTTTGTGAATTTGAACTTGAACAGATTTTGATAATGGAACCAGGTTCCTCGTTTGTTTTCCACTGATTTCATAAGTCGTAGTTTCCGCTTCTTCGGGTCTGGTTGTGAACTAAGACCCGTGAGCGATAAAACATCGACAGAGAGGGAACTGGGACCGACTTATCAATCAGTCTACGTTTGATTTTGTTTGGGGAAAAATATATGTTTAAGCATCACTCGCTATCTGAATCCATTCAGTCCTGTTTCCCCATTATTATTCTTAGAGCTCGAGTACTTTTGGCTCTAAAGGAGGCTTTATCATGTAATTCGAAATTCAAATGATAGAAAATTAATATTCAAACATGGAAAGATCATGTTAAAATCAATAAAACTGACGTTTGGCAAAATGGTCCAAAATCGATCAAAACCATGGGCTATAGTCCATGCTTTTTGCCTGAAAATGGTCAAAAATGACCTATTTTG